CGAACGATTTCTGCAACCTTTATATATATATATATATCTATATATATATATATATATATATAATATATATATATATATATATATATACTCAACATATTGATTAGAAAGTCATGTCTTTTCAACTTCAAACCTTTATTTAATTTAATAAGTATAAAATATTATCATTAATATAGTAGTTTATTTAAATTATTAATATAATATACTTAATTTTTAATCTAAGTATAATGTTAAATACAATGTATTCAACTTTGAAATTTTCAATATAGTATATTATTAATTTGTTAATTTAAATATGATATTATATTTAAAACCTAAATCAAAATCTCAAATAACTTAAAAAACGATTAAATATTTTTTTTAAATCAATTAAAAAATAACATCAAAAAGCTATTTTTTATAGTAATATAATATTTTTCAAAGTGATTTTATAATTTATTTAACAATAATAGTTAAAATAATATATATATATATATATATATATATATATATCATCAAAATTAAAAGATGGTTACATAAGTAATTTTAAATTAATCAATCACAATAATTATTAAAAAATAACACTTAACTGAGAATAATATTCAATTTTATTTATACGCAAACAACGGATAGAAATCATTGAGTAATATTGTTCAAAATAACTGATATTATATATATATATATATATATATATATATATATAAACTTAGTATAAAAATTATTACGTCAATGTTAATGTCAATAACAGAATATTTTTAAACAAAATATATTTTTTAATATTTACTTGCACCATATTGCTTTGTAACTCTAATGTCTTTTCAAAAAAAAAATTAATGATGATTTTAAATTGATTAATTACCCCTACTTTAATATTATAACTCATCAAATTTTAATTAATTACTTAATACCATTAAAAAAAATATTGTACTTATGATCATTAATTATTTGATATAAAATTATATATAAATAAATTGCTAGGGTTTTTAGAATAAGATGATGGAAAGAAGTTTCGGGAACATATAAAGATCGACATTGATGGTAAACGTTTTATATCAAACGAGGAAACGAGAAACTGATAAAATATGTAAATTTGTACAAATTAGTTCACTTGTTAATAGAAATTTTAATGATCTTATTTACTTTATTAAAACTTCTACTTAGTTAAATATTGATTATATATAGTTTGAGTTTTTTTGGTTGATGATCAAATATAGTTTATATGTTTAAAATGTTTTATGTAATCTATGAAGTTTTTCAAAGATAAAAAAATTAATGAGTATCTTAGGTTTAAGTTTTGACAATTTTTATTTCCTTTTAATGTTTTAAATTTAGTAAACTTCTAACATTCTCATTATCGTTTAAAGAGTAAATAATTGACATAAAATCCTATCGTATTAACCGTTAAGATGTCTAAAAACTAATTATTTAATCCTAAATTCTCAATGTTTGAAATTATATAATTTTATTTTTAGTTTTGTTTATGTTTCTACTTTTAGTTTATATCTTTGAAGTTCTACTTTGTTTTTGTTATTCAATTCGATATTAATTAAAATATTATTTAAATTGGCTTAAGTGTTAAACTTTATGAATAATATTTTCAAATGTAGGAATGTTAGATACATAATGAAATTCATATATTTTAGTTCTTTTTAATATGTTTCACGTAAATAAACTTAGTATTATCATTATTATGTTTATTTTCTCTTACACTTTAGATTTTGAGTTTATTAATGTAAATGTGTTTCCTTATGTTTTAATGTTAGCTTAATAAGTTGATTTTTTGTTAATTAATCATGGAATAGTTAAAAAATAATATACAATTTAAGAATAGAAGCCTTTAGTTTGATTCTCAGTTAATTTTTATTGTATTTAAATTCTTATTGAAATATTAGTTATATATGATATGTTTCATTTTGATCCCTATTAAAATAATTTATGAGTTTGTGTCTACTTACAACTTAAAACATCATACGAACACACTCTCAAGTTATTTTGAATAATATATAAATTCAGTATTTTAACTATACAATTCAATTTTTTAACCATGTAATTCGTTTCCTGTGAATGCATGAAGATTTATATAAGAAAAAGTTTTATCTCAAACATGCTATTCGTTATTTGTAATTGTTATAGTCATTTTGTTGAGTTTTAGATTTTTTTTTCTAAAGTGTAAACAACCTTTCGGTCATTTGTGTGAATAAATGAGTGAATGAATGATTAAGTCTTGAAAACCTATACGTATAATCGAAATATATTTACAACTAATTTTCTAATTACATTTCACATCAACAAAAAGAAGTTGAAATATGAAAGGGCTTGTGACTAGCGGTATCAAAGTGTTTAGAAATGTGTTCATTTCATAAGGGAGCAAAGAGTCATTCTCTCCCAACCCACTCAACCCACTGCCACATCATTTTTTCTTATTATTTTCTCTTCATATTTCCCAACCCAATACACAGAAATCCTATATTTCTTAACCGATCAACTCACTCAGTTAAAAAAATACAAAACAACTAAGGTACAAATATTAAAACACATGGTACAAGAGAAAATGAGAGAGAAAAAGTAGAGAGAGAGTATGAAGCGAGTTAGTGAAACCAATTAAATAACCCACCACTCCCAACCCTCCCAACCCACTGAAGAGGGAGTAGTATCTTCGAGGTATCGGCGGTAGCTCTATTGCTAATTAAGACTTGTATCTTAGTTGTTTTGTATTTTTTTTAATCAAGTGAGTTGAAAAAGATAGGATTTCCATGTGTTGTGGGTTGAGAGAGATAAAAAAGAGCAGAGAAAGAAAAAATGATTTGACAATGGTTGAGTGGGTTGGGAGAGAATGACTTCTTCCTCTCTAAAAGGTTTATGAATAGAAGTCGTCATTTTGGACAACTAAATAGTTAGAAATATGATTTAAAAGGGTATGTGTTAGACGTTAAAAAAAATCAAAATAATTAAAGGCATAATGATGATCCTATATATACCTAATACCTGTTGTGTTTTACAGCAAGTGTGATAACATAATAGATAAATTTCCAAAACTACTTGCAATAACTGCAAAATCTAATACTTATTGAATGTGGTCAACGATAAGTTTAATATTTTCCTTATTTAAGTAATTTTCAGTTGATAGTTAAAGATTCTTATTATATTATTATGTATAAAATTGAATAACAGATAACTAAAAAATAGAGGCGATGCTTTCGAATAATATATTTATGAGAAAATTACAAAATTAGCCAAATACACTAATTACCTTACAAATTTAGCCAAAAAAAATAGAAATTGCAAAAATAACCACTAAATTCGCAGATGGAAATGCCCCATCTGCGATTTTGGCTTTCCATCTGCGAATGTACAAGTGCCTAAAACACAGTTGTGCTTTAGGCACTTGTACATTCGCAGATAGAAAAGTCCATCTGTGATTTGTACTGTTCATCTGCGATTTTGGTTGTGAAAATCTATAAAACGATTTTTTTTCCCTCATTTTTTACTCTTCAATATAGAAAAACTCTCTCTCTCGGGGATTCCTTTTGACGATTTCTTGAAGAAAATGGACGATTATTTCAACAATCCCGAAAATATGAAATTTCCTAAACAAATAACAACTAAACTGATAATTTTCTACAAAAGTTTATATATAGTAAGATTATTTCGTAGTCAAACCATTGATAGTCAAAATAAAAAAAAGATTCGTAAAATCATAGATGGAATACAGAGGAAATCGCAGATGGACTGTGTCCATCTGCGATTTAAGCCTGCCCTGCCCTATATATATATATATATATATATATATATATATATATATATATATATATATATAAAATAATTCACATGCGAATGTACAAGTGGCTAAAGTACACTTGTGCTTTAGCCACTTGTACATTCGCAGATGGAATGTGCAAATCGCAAATGGACCATTCCCATCTACGATTTTTGTGGCCATTTTTGCAATTTCAATTTTTTTTGACTATTTTCCACAAAGTGATTAGTATTTTTGGCTATTTTTGTCATTTTCTTTATATTTATTCATTAGTCAAACTGAATTATGTTTTTTCCTTAACTAATTAAGAATAAAAAAACTAACTAAAAATGTAACATATTAAATAGGTCAAAAATCCTGTCTAACATAATTAAAAGGTGCCTTAAAAAGGATTATCACTAAAATAATAAAATTTAATGGATCTATTTACTAAAATGACCAGTCTTTTTTGAACGTAATCACAAAATAACCATTGATAAGCAATAAATTAAATGGACCTATTTATTGCTTATTGCTAATTGCAAAATTAAGATTTCAATTGTATTAACACAAAATATATTTATAAATTAAAAAAATATATTTGTGAAAAAGTTAGATGTTACAAATACAATGATATATTGCAAATAAAATATTAATATAATGTGAAATGTGTCCATAGATTGCAAAATACGATCATATATTAAGAAGCATGTGATTTTCGTTGATTTTTTAGTCAAAATACAGTTGGTAATTTGCAATGGGATCCTTTAACTAATGTTAATTTTGTGAAAAATAAAATAAAATATTTTGTTAAATGACTCCATTAGTTATAGTCTTGTGATTATCTCTACTTCAAATGCAAACAATCACAAATATCTTTATTTACATATTTATAATTATATTTACATATTAATTATTTATCAAACATCTAAATTTTTAGATAACGGTGTTTGGATATTGGAATCATCCCAAGTTCCCAACTTGGCACTACATGGACAAAATTTTGTAGTTTTTGACCCGTTATTCCCTTTGATCGGTCTATTTTGAACTTTTATATAATTTCTTTTTGATAAATAAATAATTTTAATTTTAAAATTAATATTAAAAAAACAATATTATGTATTATATATACACACGCATTAAATTATTGTACCATATTGCATTAAAAGGATTGTACTTTAAGGGAAAAAAAAGCTGCAAAAACGCGCGTGGAGTACACACACAAATGGAAGAGGGAGTAGAAGATTATTATAATATTATGATTAAACTAGTCCATTCCCCAAAATCCATTTCACTTTCTCTTTCTCTTGTCTTGTCTAGTTTCCATACATCACCATCTCCCTATCTCTCTCTCTCTCTCTCTCTCTCTCTCCGGGCAACCAACCCACCTGTTGGTATTCTTCATCAGTCATCTTCTTGAGCCACTCCATTGTCGTTTTGGGTTCTCTGTAAAAAAAAACACTCTTTTCCACCATTTTCTCTATCTATCTATCTAAAAAGTAGAAGAACAAGTTTGAATCGAAGAGAAGAATGAGTAAAGAGAAGCTTGTAGTGGAAGTGCTGGGGGCCCACAACTTGATGCCTAAAGATGGAGAGGGTTCTTCTTCTGCCTTTGTTGAAGTTGAGTTTGAAGGTCAAAGGCAAAGGACTCAAGTCAAATACAAAGACCTTAACCCTGTTTGGAATGAGAAGCTTGTGTTTCATGTAAACGACGTCGCTGACCTCCCTTACAGAACCATTGAAGTCAACGTGTTTAACGAGAAACGGTCAAACAACAGCCGGAATTTCTTGGGTAAGGTTAGGGTCTCCGGCACCAGCATTGCCAGGGAGGGCCAAGAGGACCTCATTCCACAGCTTCACACGCTTGATAAAAGGAGCCTTTTTTCTCACGTGCGCGGGGAGATCACATTCAAACTCTATTTGTCTGTAAAAGAGCATGTCAAAGGTGGTGGTGGTGGGGTGGTGGTTTCTGGTGGGGTTTCCAAGAAAAGCAACAAGTTTCAGCAGCAAAATGCCAACACGGTGGTTCAGAACCACCAGCAAATGGGTGGGGCTGGCGGTGGGGGTCAGGAAAACAAGAAAATGACACATCCGAACCAGATGACCAACAAACCCGACCCGAACCAGGGTGACCTCAAGCCAGTTGTCATCACTTCCATCCCGGGTCCACCCATCCCCGCCATGAACGTGGCTGTACCAGGTGGCGGTGTTGGTGGTGGGGGCGGCGGTCGTGTAGGGTTGTTTTCCGGTGGGTCAAACGAGTACTCCTTGAAAGAAACAAATCCGCATCTTGGTGGGGGTTTGTTGAACAAAGACAAGACAAGCTCAACCTATGACCTGGTGGAGCAAATGCAGTATCTTTACATAAGGGTGGTGAAAGGCCGTGAAATCCCGGTGGTCGGTGGCGGAGAGCTGGTGGCGGAGGTGAAACTTGGAAACTACAGAGGAATCACAAAGAGGGCTGCTTTGAACAACGCAGAATGGGACCAAGTATTTGCATTTTGCAAAGACACGATACAATCATCCATGGTGGAAATATATGTGAAGGAGAGAGACAAAGATGATTTCTTGGGTCGTGTTTGGTTTGACCTGAATGAAGTCCCTAAAAGGGTCCCACCAGACAGTCAACTGGCACCACAATGGTACAGAATGGATGATAAGAGAGGGGAGAGAGGGAAAGGTGGAGAAGTTATGGTAGCAATTTGGTTTGGGACTCAAGCGGATGAAGCTTTCTCAGAGGCATGGCATTCAAAGGCTGCGAACGTGCATTTAGATGGGCTTTGTTCAATTCAATCCAAGGTATATCTTTCACCTAAACTATGGTACTTAAGGGTTTCCGTGATTGAAGCACAAGATGTCGTTTTGGGTGAAAAAGGGACATCTTTAATGAGGTACCCTGAGCTTAATGTCAAAGTACAAGTCGGAAACCAGGTTTTAAAAACCCGGGTCGCCCCGGCCATGGCCAATCGCAGCCTCTCAAACCCGTTTTGGAATGAGGACTTAATGTTTGTGGTGGCCGAGCCGTTTGAGGATTATGTGATTTTTTCTGTGGAGGACCGGGTCGCCCCGAACCGTGAGGAGGTTGTGGGTCGGGTCATGCTTCCGGTTTCGGTTATTAACAGGAGGTTGGATTCAAAGGAAGTGGCTTCAAGGTGGTATAATCTTGATGGGCATTCGAGTAACCCGAATGAGTCAAAATCAGTTGTTAGGTTTGCTTCTCGGATCCATATACGGGCCTCACTTGATGGTGGGTATCATGTGCTTGATGAAGCTACAATGTATAGTAGTGACGTTAGGCCTACAGCTAAGCAGCTATGGAAGCCTCATATCGGTGTTCTTGAGATGGGTATTCTTGGGGCTTCTAATCTTATGCCAATGAAGATGAAAGAAGGTAAAGGCGGGTCCACGGATGCTTACTGTGTGGCGAAATACGGCCAGAAATGGGTCAGGACCCGAACCGTTGTGGATAGTTTGGCTCCGAAATGGAACGAGCAGTACACCTGGGAAGTTTTCGATCCGTGCACGGTGATCACAATTGGGGTTTTCGACAATTCGCGGGTCGATAAGAACCCGACTGGTAATGGGGCGGGCACACGTGATTCACGGATCGGAAAAGTCCGGATCCGGTTGTCTACACTTGAGTCAGACCGGGTGTACACCCATGCATACCCGCTATTGATGTTGCATCCTTCTGGTGTTAAGAAAATGGGCGAGCTTCATTTGGCTGTTAGATTCTCTTGTGCTAACATGCTGAACATGCTTCACATGTACACAATGCCTTTACTACCTAAGATGCACTACGTACAGCCTTTGTCTGTGAGCCAGTTAGATAGCTTGAGGTACCAAGCCATGAATGTGGTGGCTTCGCGGCTGAGCCGAGCCGAGCCGAGTCTAGGGAGGGAAGTGGTGGAGTACATGCTGGATCATGATTCTCATATGTGGAGCATGAGGAAGAGCAAAGCTAATTTCTTCCGGCTCCAGAGAGTGTTGGGTTGGCTTGTGTTCGTGAACCGGGTGATTGATGCGATGAGGAACTGGAACATGCCGGTTTACTCGAGCATGTTTGTGGTTACTTTTATGATTCTGGTACTGATGCCGGAGCTTATTGTGCCATCGATTCTGTTGGGGTTTGCGGTTATTGGACTATGGAAATACCGATTACGCCCCCGGTACCCACCTCACATGGACACACGCCTGTCGTATGCGGAAAGCGTTCACCCGGATGAATTAGATGAGGAGTTTGACTCTTTTCCAACGAGCAGAAGCGCAGAGGTTGTGAGGATTAGGTATGACAGGCTGAGGAGTGTGGCGGGGAGGATCCAGACGGTGGTTGGTGACATGGCGACTCAAGGGGAGAGGTTCCAGGCGTTGCTGAGCTGGCGAGACCCGAGGGCGTCCTTCTTGTTTGTGGTGGTTTGTTTCTTTGCTGCTTTTGGGTTTTACTTGGTGCCAATCAGGTGGGTGGTGGCGATTTGGGGATTGTACTTTCTGAGGCCACCCAGGTTCAGGAACAAGTTGCCATCCAGTGGTGTTAGTTTTTTCAAGAGGCTGCCTACAATGGCTGATAGCATGTTGTAGTAGATGTTTTAACTTTTGACTTTTAAATCAAGTGGTGTAACTCTGGGTGGCAAAATCTGTTGCTATATTTTGGATCATGTTTTGTGTCGTTAGTTAGATATTAGCAAGACTAGAAGGTGGTGGTATTGTAATGTTTAGCAGCCTCAGTTGTTTGTTAAGAACAAGGCAATTTCCTATCTGGGAAACATCAGACCAATCATGTTTTTTTAATGTACAACTCTGAATGCATTAGATACAATGAATACATGCATGAAACTTAGTTTACCTGCAACAGCAGTAGTATTAGTTAATGTAAAAATGGTGCTAAACGAGAATCTGTGAGATGTGGACCCGCACGAGCTCCTAAAGCTCGACAAGTGATGGCTGCCTGTGATTGTTTATGCAGGAAAATAAGGACACGGTTTTCTGTGAGTTTGGGCTTGATTAACATTAATATTATCATCAAACGTATCATATCTTTTTAGCTGAGAGTAACTATGACTGATATAATTTACATTTTTATTTACAAAAATGGGATAATGCATACAAAGTTAATCCAAGTATTGGCCGGTGTAGCATTATCCCAGAAGAATCGAAGATATGTTTGATGATAATTTGAATGGTTACATGTAAATTAGTTGAATGTAGTTGGTTTGTGAATTGTGAATATACTAACCACTTGAGCTGCAAAAGGTAACATTTGTTCTGGTGGCTTGTTGGTGCAAATGCCTACAAATAAATATACGTACAACAGGAGTTGTCAATTTGGCGAGTTGCATGCTTTGGACACTTATGACTTATAGGCTGGCTATGTGTCCCATCTTTTAGCTCCTTCATTCCATTATTCAATTCCTACTTTATCAAGTCAAGTCAACACAAATATTCTTAACTTTTCAGTTTTCAGCTCTATAAATATTCATTTATTTATCTACCTGGTTGTCTAGATAAGAACATTAAAAAGCAAGATAAATAATAAAGCAAAATAATGGAGTGAATTCAGTGGTCATATAATTACAATTTATAAATACGTAGTACTTACCATACAGGACTGCTCCTATGAATGCGTCTCCAGCACCTGTTGTATCCACCAGCTCCGACTGTGGTATCTTCTCAGCCGTGCCAATGAGCAGCTTTCCACACACATTCCCGATTCCCTTTGCCTGCAATCTTGTAACCTCCTGAAACATAAACTAAAATATATATGAACTATGAAGCAGAAGCACCCACCATGCATGAACATCATCGTTTTCTGAATCAGGAAAATGCATGTTAACTACCGATGAAATGCATGTCGGGGCAGGTGAAAAAAGAGTGCTGGATTTGCGTTTCAATATCTCTAATAAATCATCTACATCCATTTCTTCAGCTTCGACATTCTCTGTTGGAAGTGAAGTTGATGATAACACAGGTTGTGTTAGCAATAAATAGCATATTGCAGAATTTATATATATAGAAATTAATTAAGGGTAGGTAAAAAGAAAAGGACCAGATATGTTTCTTCTGTCGAGCATTATGCAACCATCTGCACCTAAAGTTACGATAACAAACTTGAGTTTTGGCAACCTTAACAGCATAGAAACAAGTGCGCTTGCAACAGATGGGGCTCCAGTCCATGTCTGTACAGTACGTCAGACTCGGTTATATATACAAAACAAATTAATTTCAGACGGTTAGTAATTAAACTTTCGATTCAACAGTTATGATATATATATATATATATATATATATATATATATATATATATATATATATATATATATATATATATATATATATATATCATTAATAAGACCGCATTTTCTACTGCTAGCTTAGTAGCTATTGCACTTTTTGATGAGATGTACAACTAGATGCCAAGCCACGTGGTTTGGCTAACACTCAACACCACATCAGCAACTTAATTAACCGGTCAATTTTTGACTGAGTGGCTGTATGAGTATGGGACAAAATTAGAAAGTGGAGGAAAAAAGTTAAGTGGCCTGCCTATATGCATGATACAAATGAAAATTATGTTGTTATCTCAAAAAATAATGCAAGACAATGTAAGAATATATTCATCATATAATTCTAGTTTTTAACATACAATTTTAAACTTATATATAAAATAAAACGGTACCATTTTTAAATAAAAGATAACCAAATCAAACCTAAAAATTCATTTTATTTAAAAACCAAACCTAAATTCGGTTTATCTAAAAACCAGAAAATTGGTTTTCAAGATAGGTTCGGTTTTCTTTCCACAAGCCTAATAATGAGCAATGGGTAATAGAAAGATAGGTATAATTAAGATGTAATTAAAAAGAATGATAAGCAACAGCAATAGCATGCCTGTGGAAGTTTAGCCGAGCACACAACATAGTCTGATAAATTTAGAAGATCATCGAGGCCTTCCCTTGACCTTTCAGCATCAATTAAAATAGGTATTTTCCTGCGATTTGCCTGCACTGGTGAAAGTAGAAAGAAATTTTTAATTAATTTGTAAATAGAGAAATGGAGTGAGGCTAATTAAACAAGAAGGGAAGGATTAAGAAGATCAAAAATCGCCTAATTGATGGTTACCTCATGTGCTACAACTAGAGCCGTTTCAGGCAACCGTACATCAAAATAAACAAGCTTCACTCCAGCCAATGCACTTAGTAAAGATGAACTGGAAAGCTCATCTGGAATCATTGGAGGCCACCCTGGTGTATGAATACAAGTTCGAGTCTTCCTGGACACATCTAATTAACTTTTCATTAATAAAAAATGCACTTTTATTTTATGTGAGATGCATGTTTTACACTGTCACAATTCACACATGTATTTCCTCATTTTCATGTTGTTTGTATACAAAAGGTACTGTGTTGATAGGTGTTATAGTATATGTACATAGGTTAGTAACATTTATTTCTTAGTGGACTATAAGTTACAGTTTGACAGAAATATTTTACACCATCTCAAATTCAAGAATCAAGATCTGGGTGCTTAGTATTTTGTCTGACTTGCCAATTGAACAAGTTCAAATTCACTTGAGAAAATAAGAAATGGTTTTCCAATAGCCGAAAATAGTTAATCATAGAGTCAAACATAGCATCTTCGACATAAGTAAAAAAAATATGAGAAGAAAGGAACTGGAGTGAAGAGAATAGAGATGCTTACGTTTGATCGTCTACAATGACATAGGTAAATGGTGAATTACCCTCTTCAGAAACCTGCAACCAAGAAATGCAAGCTTATATGTATGTGTAAAAAGAAAATTACCCAAAGACAGATATGCTACCTACTAAAATTCTATAAAAGAATTTGCATAATCTGAATTTTGTCTTAAAGAGATTTCCTGGATAGAACACAGACAAAATTCTCTTCAATACTGTTGAAAGATTGTACTTTTCTACATGTTCATTACCGCAAAAAAAGATACATCTACACCATCAGCTTTTAGTTCCTCCAGTATTCCTCTCCCTTGAGCATCATTAGCAACCTGTTAATAAGGTAATACATGACAACATCTGAAACACTTCAGAATAGCTCAGTGAAGAAATTTAAAAATCTACAAGCTCATACAATAGACCAACATCTATAAGAGGACAGATGTAAAAGCGCATGTACATATATACACACACATAGCGAAACATATTCTGACTTGTACATTTAGATCTTAGAAGTAAGGTGTTTTGTTCTCTTCATATCCATCTACCTTCTCTCACCCTTTTCTCTGTATGTTTTCAGCAATAGCTTACTAGTTGCTACTGACTATGTGATAGAAAAACAACAACAACAACAACAACATAGTTCTGATGTCAAGTATTAGCATATTGCATGCATACCTTGGATATTAACCTTGCATTCAATCCTAAACGAGCTGCACAAGTTAGAGCGTTTCCTGCATTACCACCTCCTTGTACCTATCAGAAAGAAAAAAAAGAAAAAAAAAAAAAAGTGTGATTTATGATGGTCACACTGTTACTGAGATTCAACTCATTTCTACAGCAACGACAGTAACAGAATGTACGAAAAAGAGAATATTGGATTTTCAAAACATACTTGACATCCAAAAAAAGCAACCCATTCATTAAATAAGGGAAACACAACAACTAGTTTGATAATTCAACATTATCAGCAATCACATACTTAAGAAGATGATGAATCTACATTTAAACCTAGATTGGAAGTAATGATAACACAACCATATAAAAAAAAACAGAGTACCCTTGGCCAAAATAAAAAGAAGAATGATAAAGTGTTGAGACCACCATTAGAGGAACTAATCAGTTTCTCTATAAAACTGTTAATCTGGACCACAGATGATTGTAAAATCTCAATCATATAGGAAAGGGGGAATAAATGAACAATATGATCAACAAGGGAATTCTTCAATCATAGTGATTACAGATAACTTTGAGGACTTGATATATTCTACACCACAGATCTGGATACTGTGAAACCTCTATTAGGAAATCATAGAGGAAGAGTTCATTAAAACAATAGCCATTCATTCTGCAGTAATTACAGGTAAAATATTCACAAAATTTTGAATTCTTTCTTAAGACTCATGCTATGCAATCAGTCACAAAACTCGAAATCATAAGATTGATAATCCAACTATAGGATAAAGCGAAGCTGTAATACCAATACTAACCTAGGAATAATAATAAAATCGTCTAGACTGAGTACCTTTAAGCTGGTGCTTCGAATCTTGTCATCCGGGTTAGGGAACGTAGCCACAGTAGCCAAGAGATCCACCCCCACACCACCAAATCCAAGCTGTATTGTTAACAGTTAACACCATAACATTCCACTTCCACTCATATATATCAACTGTAACACATGATTATGTGCGGGAGTTCTCTCCGCCACAATGAGGTTATTTTGATATAGTTCTACAATCTCAATTCAATTTTGGTAAAACGCTGAGAATTACATACCACGATTGGACTTTCAGTCTGAGTCACCGACGACAACATTTTTGTCCTGAATCTTTGCACGCTGAGTGTAAACAAACAAAGGCATATTAAACGATTCAATAAGAGAAACAAATGAATTTGAATAACGTGATATGAACATTGAAGAAAATCACCTGGCTGTAGTGGTCACGGGAGTGATGGAGATACGCGACGAAGAGGAGATAAAGCTCGGGAGCATGGCACTGGTAGAGAGCATGGCTGCCATCGGTGCGCCGTGTGTAGTTGGCGCGTGTCAAACACTGCGATTGTCTCCGGCGGCCGGAACCGATTTTTTCTGCGATGGATCTGGATAGGGGAAGCGGATTGCATGCCATAGTTTAACCGTTTATTCTGTTCCAGAGCTTGGTGGGATCCACCAATCCACCATGTGAATTGTACATTTGCTACCACTTGTTTCAAATTTTTACATTCTAACCACCAAATATATTTTTTAAAGTGTAAATTACACAAATAGTCCTTTTGATTTGGTATAATTTGCATGGTTTTTATTTATTTTATTAACTTGGATAGTCCCTAATGTAATCTTTTGTTGTGTTTTTTGTCCTTATTAGATGTAAAAATGACAATATTGCCATATTTACTTTTAATATTTTGATATTTTGATTTAGTTTTAAACTTTTACTGGTTACAATTACACAAAAAAAAAAGAGGGGTATCATGTATGAGATACGTCCTCAATATGTGGCTCTCTCACCATTCCTCACACCCTCGCCAAAGCTTCCTTCACCAAAACCTCCCACAACCTCTCGTTCTCTTCTTGCTGGTGGCGCTTTTGTTTCCTCGATCAGTCATGATTTCAAGTTCATCTTTTGGATTGACTATATTAGGATTTCTAGTTTGTTTAAACTGAAAATTTTGGATTGATTGTATTTTACAACGAAAGGAAAAAGAGGGTGAACGGAAATGAAGAAGAGTGTGAGGGGTGGGTTGATGGAGTAGTAATGGGATGGTGGGAACCAAATGATTGTTTCGTACAAAGTTCCATTCTGACGGCACCATTGAGCGATACAAAGCTCGCCTTGTCGCTCAAGGGTTTAGTCAAACTCCTGGTCTCGACTACTCCCACACTTTCAGCCCAGTGGTTAAGGTTTCCACCATTCAGGTCATTCTATCTCTCGCTGTTCTTAACAAATGGACCTTACATCAGCTTGATGTTAACAACACATTTTTGCATGGGCAGCTTCAGGAGTGTTTATTCATGGAGCAACCTCCTGGGTTTGTTAATCCTCACCATCCTAATCATGTGTGCCGATTAAACATAGCTCTTTACGGCCTCAAGCAAGCCCCTCAGGCTTGGTTTCAACGACTAAGCACGTTTTTAATTTTCAATGGATTCTCTTGTAGCAAGGCCGATACTTCTCTCTTTATCTTCAAACGTGGCGAGTATATCATGTATCTTTTGGTATATGTCGATGACTAAATTTTGACCGGTAATCATGATGAGGTGCTCCAGTCGTTCATCACTCAACTTCACACTCAATTTGCTATTAAAGACTTGGGGAAGCTCAACTACTTCCTTGGTCTTGAAGTCACGTATATAAACGATGGTTTGTTCCTTAGCCAAACTAAATATGCAAAAGATGTTCTTGAAAGAGCTCGGATGCTTGATGCAAAACCGGCGCCCACCCCTTGTCGCCAACGACTTCTATCTCATCATCTGGTGACCCATATTCGGATCCGACACAGTACCGCTCGATTGTAGGGGCATTGCAATATCTTACCATCACAAGACCGGATATCTCATATGCAGTTAATCAAGTTAGCCAGTTCCTCCATGCTCCTACTACTCAACACTTCCAAGAGGTCAAACGAATCCTCCGGTATATTAAAGGCACTTTAACGTTTGGCTTGACCTTCTCTAAGCCCACCAACATGTCCCTTCTTGGCTACTCCGATGCGGATTGGGCTAGGTGCATTGAGACAAGACGGTCAACTTATGGCTACTCGATTTTTTTGGGAGGCAACCTTGTTTCTTGGAGCGCCAAGAAACAACCCACAGTTTCTCGATCCAGCTGTGAATCCGAATATCGGGCCATGGCCAATGTTGCTGCTGAGATTATTTGGATAACTCATTCGCTTCAAGAACTCCACACTCTTCCCGCAGTCCGACCTACTCTCCTATGTGACAATCAGAGTGCTCTCTTCTTAACTCAGAATCACATCGCTCACAAGAGAATGAAGCACATTGAATTAGATTACCACTTTGTCCGTGAACTTGTTGCTTCGGGAAAACTCTACACTAAGTTCATATCATCCAAACTTCAAGTTGCGGATATTTTCACTAAAAGCCTTCCTCAGCGTCAGTTTGAGTTCTTTCGAAACAAGCTTCGGCTCGGCCCTCCACCACTCAGCTTGCGGGGGGATAACATCTCTCCACCTTGCAACATTTGATTTGTGTATGGGCTTTATTGTAATTTTCTTATTCATGCATTCCTTTGTTGTAATTTCTGTATCTATATATTGTTTCCTCGTGTTGTTTAGGAGTTCATTCGATTTAATTTCATTATCAAAATAGCAAGGTCAAAATAGTTTTTTCATTTCTGAAACCAAAGTCGCAACAAAAAAATATTATAGGACATGTTCAAGTTAAAAGAAAGAGTTAGGGACCAAATGTACATAGTACCCAAACCATATGGACCATTCGTGTAATTTTTTTTCTTTTTAAATATTTTTCTCATCTCTTTCATGGGCGCTGGTAGAGGCGAAGAGCCGTGCTCAATTTGAAGCAATTTATTAAGAATAATAGGCTTATTATATGTTTTAAACTAAAAGGGTCACATTAAAACAAAATATTAAAGAAATATAAAAGAAAACAAGTCAAACGAGTTGAGAATCGATCAAAATATATTTTAAAATCTAAATAAAGGGGATATACCCTTTTTATATTTTAAATGTGTATAACCTTTTAGGTTGTTCTATTATGAAAATTATATTAATATTGCAATCATAGTTAAAATACTAATTATCTGTAAAAGATACTAAAAAAATAAAAGGTACATTAGTTAATAACAAACTGAAAGACGAGTAAAACGGGTAAGTTATAGATAGTAGATGTTTATTGCTGAATAAACTAGAAATCAAAGTAATTTAATTAACAATACAAGAAAGAAAATGGGCGGAAGCCCCATTACATAAATAAATAGTTATAAAAATACAAAATTCGTAATCAATGGACATTAAAGATGCCGATGAGAACCAGCAGAACGATTGTAGACAGGATCAACAAAAAGTATAATCATCTTGAAACTTGATTTCTTGATAATGATTGTTTGATGGAAGAGAGAAATGGTTGTGATGAAAATAAGCATGATAAGAATGTCTATTTATAGTAAAATTTTGGATCAACGAAATTGAAAATATCACTAATTGAGTAGTCGACAAACTGGCAAGCTATCAGAAAAAAATAAAAAAAAATAATAACAATAATAATAATAATAATAAGTTTAGTATAAGATAAAACAGTCACTAAAATTTTGAATCAACGGAATTAAAAATATCATTAATTGAGTTATAGTCGACAACCTAACATACTAACAAACTGTTAGAAAAAAAAACTAAAATAATAAATTTAGTATAAGATAGAAGAGTCGTTAAAAGAAAATCTCAAAGTTAATTTTAGTAGCGTTGTAGATAGTCAATTTGGGGAGGCTAAAAGTGAGTGGTGACGGCATATATCGTTAAACCAATGATTTCGAGAATGAAATCATTTTAAAGGGTAAGTATTTGTAACATCCTAAAATTTATAAATAGTTTGGGTTGATAATGTAAGATATTTTAATAAGTTTTTAAATGTATATTTAAGACATTTAAAATAAATATTCAAAAATACAAAAAAAAACACGCATACAAAACGAGTTTTACGGCAAATCCATGAGAGTAAAAATAGACAGTAAACCATGAAAATAGTTTTTATTACAAATTTAAGTAATCTTTGGAAAAACTATCGTACCATGAAAATGTCATTATTATGAATTCAAAGGCTTGGATTAATACAATGGTATTAGGATAAAATACATCATTAATTTCAGTTGTAATAATACTAGTTGATCTACTTATAAACACAGTATCTAGAATGGCCATGTTGACTTGTTTTTGGATTTCAGAAAAGTTTACCAAAGTTGTTTTTTACTTGATAGTCAAATAACATTATATTGGAATTAATGAAGAATTTAGGGAATACGTTAAGCAAGGATAATTATGATAAGAATAAAGTATTAATATTGTGTAATTACTACTTTAGGCCGAAAGGAAATAAGCAGCCAATGTGAAAGGTCATAAATAAGTTGAGTACTTGGTGATTTTTCCCATTTTGGGATACATGGTAAATAAAAATGTTTTATGCATATGTATATAAATGTTTTCGAGCATTATCTATAATATGATTATGAAAATGTTTCTACTCTAATATATGTATATCATGGCACTTGTGTGTGATTGAAACGTGAAAAGAAAAGTGGTGATCATGTATACATTGAATGTGATTGCATAAGTGTCAAGTAAGGTCCGAACAGTTGTCCTATAAATGGGATCAAAGACTCTACCGGGAATGGTACCTCCTTCGCGAAGTAGTTGTCTATAAACCAGAGAGTCATTATAGATTGATCCAATTGCGCAGAGTAACGTTGTATTTTATAGACTAAGGCAAGAAGGGTTAAATTAGTCAGATTTCTATTTTTATATATGATTATGCATTACATGTATCATTATAAATGAATTATTTTCAATAAAAGATTACTATTGAAATAAAGAACAAAGATTTTGATGTGTCTAAAACCTAAGTAGCTCACGAGACCTTTTCGTCTTCCATACTATATTTTATGCCATATATTTAAGAATCAGGTTCAAAGATCTAGAAGGTCTTTTACGGATGTTAGAAGGCCTAAAAATGAGTATGTTTAACATGGTTATGTTTGATATGAAGTTGTAATATCCACACCAGGTTATCACTTTGAAATGTTTTGAAAACCATAGTAAATATATCATGTGAAAAGTAGGGTGTTACTTGAGAGACTCAATTCCTTAGTTGAAAGGTCGAACAAGATGGAATGAATAAGCCATTGAGAAAGACTCAATTCCTTAGTTCAAAGGTTGCACACACATTAGTTATTTGGTTTATATTACGAATGGATCAAAATTCGGATACACTTCCCGATGAACCAAAGCCATGCTATGATGAAAAATTATTAAACCAAAAACCATAATCTAACCCTAAAAGGCTAAAACAGACAAGAGAAACCATATCACACAACACAAATTGTACAAAGATGAATAAAATTGATCAGAAATCAACATATACACCAATCACCACACCTACTATACTATCCAGCTTCGAATTGTATTATAATGAAATCAAGATTGTCAAAAACTACAATCCCCATTTTGTCCCTCCCCCTTTTCCTCATATATAAATAAATATAAGCCATCAAACCTCACTTCATTCCATTTCATACAACAAACCCCTACCTACACTTGTTACTTCTTACTCAACTTCGTCATCAAGGCCCTTGGCTTTTGGTTCTGTACACTTGAAAATCAAACAACACAACAGTCTTTCTTTTCCTTTGGTTAAAAGGAAGCTTCACTCCAAAAAGGCTTTGAGAGTAGTCCACCATGTTCACTCATACTTCCCTTGGATCTATAAAACAACGGTTTGCTCCTAACCGTCCTAAGCGGGCCCGACCTGTTCCCATGACTAACCGACGGCCCCAAACCGACCCCACCATCAAAACTCGAAGCTGAAAACGCTCTGTTATCCATCTCTTCAAGTGGGCCCGAGCTATAATCCATTGTCATGAACGAAGAGGTTTGACCGTAAGTCAACCGCGGGGTGGCACCACCGCCGGCGTTCCACCAACTGCTGTCGGAAGGGACTTGATCACCGCCTTTGAAGTCCGACTCCACAACTGAAGAATCCCTTTGTGTAGTACTGTCCCCACACACTTCATCTTTGTCGTTGTATATGAGCTTTAAGGCTTGGACTACTTCACCCATGAACGGCCTTTGATTTACCTCCGGGTGCACACACATGGATGCGATTGCTGCCACTTTTGCCATGTCATCGAAGTCGTAGGTCCCGAATAAACTCGGGTCCACTAACTGTTGTAGTCCTTCTCGGGTTGTGAGAAGCGGGCGGGCCCACGTCACGAGGTTTTCTTCACCTGGTGGTTGCGACATGTCCACTGGTTTTCTTCCGGAAAGAAGCTCCAGAAGCACAACACCATAACTGTACACGTCGCTTTTCACTAGTAGATGCCCTGTCATCGCATACTCAGGCGCAACATAACTGCAGTGCAGATTAAAACAAAAATGATTAAATAACAGATAATCCAGATGCATGTTTGAAAGAGAATAATATATGGTACCCGAAAGTTCCCATGACACGGGTAGAAATATGACTACTCCCTTCTGTGGCTTCTCTTGCTAACCCAAAATCTGATACCTTGGGAGTAAAGTCATCTTCTAGAAGAACATTGCTGGCCTTAAAGTCACGATGAATTACACGCGGATTTGAATCTTCATGAAGATAAGCCAAACCTCTCGCTGCACCAAGAGCAATCTTCAACCTACCATCCCAATCAAGAGGCCCTCTCTCCTTATCCACACCTGAAGCATAATCCACATTACATGTTACCAAATTTCATATATTACAATAATAATAATATTAATTGACATACCATGCAAATGAGACTCAACGCTGCCATTAGGAACGAGTTCATAAACCAAGCAGCGTGTGCGGCCTTCAATGCATATACCGATGAGTTTTACAAGGTTACGGTGATGTAAGCGGCTTAGCATCTCGACTTCTGCAATGAATTCACGATCACCGTTTTGGTTGTTATCTCTATTCAGTAACTTTACAGCAACTTCAGATCCATCTTCTATGATTCCATGATAAACACATCCAAATCCTCCTTCACCCAAGATCTTCTTGGAACTGAACTTTTCAGTGGCCTTGTCAAGTTCGGCTAGTGTGAAGGTTTTCACAGAGAGGAGGGAGGCAGGCATGGCAGAGACAATGGATAACGTGGAGTTTGAATATGGATCGCCTGATAACATTGCTCCAAGTCCTACTTCACCAAAAAATTATCATGCTAACTAACTGTAATGATCAAACTCAGACTAAGAAAGTGAAATGTATTATGGATATAAAGACTTACCACGTCTTTTGCTAGATGGGGTTGCGAAAACAGGACCCACAGCATTTGATGATCTACCAACCCTTCTGTACTTTAAGAAGACAGAAATTGCTGCAAGGCAAACAACCAAGAGTACCACTGCAGATAAAGTAATAACAAAAATGGTTTTAGGGTTCATGTTCTGACTTTTTCCTACAAAAGTTGCAGTGAGAGGGATCTGTCTGTTTCCAGGACTTCCATTTGGTCCACTCCCGGGGTGATCTCCATCTCCATATGGCGGTGAAGAAGGAAGCCCTGATACATATACATATAGTAACTTTATATAATTAGGAACCAAGTAGTAAAAAAAAAAACAACAAGAGAAAGAGTAAAAAAGGAATCTTTACCTGGATAAGTGATATATACAACCTCATAATCTCCAAAAAGGGTTCTATTTAAAGAGAGTTTCTTGCGCCAAATCTTATCGTATGTGAGTAAAGCAGTGGTGTTATCGAATTTTTCTCCTAATGGAACTAAGTTTATATCAACTGCTGTTTTTTCTTGATTTTGACTATCAGCACTGGCACCTGTTATGACCACTTGGCTTTGTGTTAAGTAAGTGCCTGTTGCAATCTCGATTTCAAGCTCATTCACAACGGGAAAGACCGCATACACGGAAACTTGTAAAAGCAGTCTGACTTTCATTGGAAAAACACAACCGCATGGTGATCCAATGGGAGTTGAAGTCAGTGGCTCAGAACAGGTTTGATCGCAACCTGTCAGATATCATATTACAAAATACAAATTATAGAAATTATGAAAAGTTAAATTATAGTTATGCAGATGATGTATGATGATTCATGCCTGGTACAGGGGATGGAGATGGAGAGACTGCATGGGTGATCTTCCCATTACGAAAATGATGGTGATGTCGCCTTCTTGAGCTGCCAACAGGAGGGCTAGCAACAGGGCCTACATATGTTATTTTATACAAAAAGAAAATTAATACAATATTCAGTTAAAATAACTAATACTACACATGAATGATGAAACCTGGCTACAAGTACCTTGAATTGTTGGAGAAGGAGAAGGAGCAGCAGGTACATTTGAAGGTTTTGTAAAGGCCACGGGTGGATGTATATGTGATGCTATAGATGGAATTGTTGCACTCATTGACATGAACCTCACTGAAAACAAAAACAAAGGATCGTTAGCTTAATGCGGTTGTTCTACTAATGTAACCTGATGTTTAAACAGTTTTGCAATTCATATGCCTTGGTTAACATGGTAGCCAACATGTAACGTATGTATTCAATTAAATTTTGATTTTACATTAGCACATTTCCAAATTTGAAACTATACCTTTGTGCTATTAGAGAAACAAAATAAGTACCCAAAAACCTATCATATGCATATCACCATTTCAGTAAATATTGACATAGAGTATCTAATTTTATGCAATCTTTGCATGATATTCATTTTGCAATAAGAGGTGGTTAAGCATGAAACACTTCATCCGTTAAGACTTAAGAAGACTTAAACAAGATGGAAAAAGGTATGGAAAGAGCAAAGATGATTACAAATTGTATTTTTCTAATCATAATATTTCCATCTTTGAAGAAGGAATGAAACTGATACCTTTGAGATGTTCAAAATCATGTTTCCTCACAAACAGAGGTTGGCTTGGCAGTAGAGAAGGAGATAAATTGATGTTCAGGAAAGGAATGCCTGGAAAGGAAGTAAACAAACTTTCCCAATTAGAGGACATAATATTCATTCTGATCAAATTAAAGAACAAAGGTCAAGTGACTACTGACTGTAACTAATAACCACTGCAAGGCTACACAAGAAATATCAAAACACAAAATGCTCATCAATCATTAACACAGGTAGATGATGATACTTCACTCTTTTCCATCTAGTTATCAAACTAGTCAACAGTAATCTATAATAAACAACTATTACATTCTTCATCAAAAAGGAAATCATTTATTTATAGGAACTTCAATTTTCAGTTAATACTCTCTCTTGCTTATACCGTATTTCCTGGATTACGACACACATATGTTAGTTATTTATATCACTACGTGTTGCATGGTGCGCTTCTTTCATCAGTTAAATACATGCAAACTTTTATGCGTATTAAAATACATGGAATTTCAAAGGCAACTAAATTTCATCAGCCTACCAATTTAACATACTCATTGGGTTGTGGATATTGCAATGTAGAAAGGAAGGTGTTATCAAACAAGCACACTTATAGAAAGTGCAATCTAAATAACCTCCAATAGTCTTTTTAGTAATCCAACTTTTCAACAAAAAAAAAAACTTCTATAGAAAAATAGCAAATGGTAATAGTCAGGTTAATATACAATCAGTGCTGCCAATTGGATATACAGCATTGTCTTAACCCACAACCACCCTACAGGGATATTTAACCATGAAAACGATTATATATTCATATTGAAAAGATATGAATTTTGACTTTAAAAGTCAATTGGGTTACTGTAGCAATCAAAACTGATATTGAATTTCAAACCACCGGAATAATGTTGCTAGCCACATAAATCCTTGTAACAAGTCAAGCACACCACATAGTACAATAATGATTTTTGTAAATTATTGATACAATCAACAACAATTGTGCAATTTACGCATTAGGCTGACACCAAATCGTAACCTACTCTTGTTCAAGGAAGTGAGGGTTCGAAGAGAATATACTATTCCCAAATTAAGCAGGTTCTCACGAAACATACAATAAGAACATATGATTATATCAAAACAGATAAGCCACGATTTTCACTGAGAGATAAGTAATCAACTGTCGGCAGAGCCAAAGTGCAGTCAATTCGCGATTTCTATACACAGCTCTAGAATTCATTTGGCCATTTTTTCTTCGGCGCAACTCACCTAAGGACTAAGTAAAAGTATAGAACCCTAAATAATTAAAAAGGACAAAAAAGAAAAGAAGCCAATTCTAGCTTTATTACCGTAACTAACTGTAGGAGAACCGAGAGTGAGAAGAGGAAAAATAAACAACAGCATCACAGTAGTAGACATTTTGTAATCGAACACATAAACACCATTGTCAAAACGCTAAAGCTTGATTTAACAATGCAACACTGAACTCCAAGCTAGGGTTTTGCTCTTGTAGTGAAATCCACCGACAAAGACCTCCGTCGAGTCCTTCAACAAAACGTAAATACACCATTATTCACTTCACTTCCAGAGTAATATCAAGTGAAAACTAAGCTCAAATACCGCAATGTAGATCCATAAAATGCGGCGAAAATCAGAAGCAAATGAGTTGTAGATACAGAAACCGAGTGAACTAGAGAAAGATACAGAGATCTAATGAAAAAAACAGTTGTTAGATCTTGAAGAAGATTGAAAAAAAAGGGTTTTTAGAGTGTGTTTTGCGTGTGTGTGTGAGAGAGATGACGAACAATGACAGCATTCGGCTGGAAGAAGAGGGATAGAAGAAGCAGGGAGATGAAAAGAGGAAGGGGTCTGCGAGTGATGTGGGGTCGATTTATTATTGCACGCTCCAGCTCTAGCAGGCTACATAATGAGTGTCTGGCCGACGCGCTGTATCTAAGCGCGTGTATAAACTACTGAAAAGGAAAAGACTGAACGCGGATTAAAATAAAAGAATAGAAACCTCTTTTTTGTTTTTTGGGATAAATTGTTAATACACCTTTAAGACACTTTTGTTGACTTTAGTCTTCTATCGTGTAAGACTGTAAGTAAGATACACTAATCGGTTGGATGTATTTTTATGTATTGAATTATTTTATGAGCAAAAACCGTTTAGTTAGATAGATATAATTAATTTTTATATTTTAAAGAAAACATTGATTAAAGTAACCTAACGAGGCAGTTAACAAAAATATCGATCATTTGAATTTTTTTTATAAGATAACCCCATATTTTGGAACTCGTTATTTTAGAGTATCATATTGGATTTTAGATAAAATGACTTATTGACTTGTGATTATCGAAAATAGAGTTTTTTAAAAAATATTTGGATTAATTTTTGTAGTGGAAAAAAATCAATAAGCTGTTTTTTTTTTTTTGTTTGTCTTAGCTTAAGGGTATTTGAAGGTAATATTGATTTTTATAACTCAAAAGTCATAAGGATTTTATAAAAGTTACAAATTCTAACTATTTAAAATCTTTTTTTAAGGCTTAAGGAGAAGATGTTTTTTAAAAGTTCTTTTCTTTTTTCAAAAAAGTTTTTTTTTACTTATTGACTTTTCAAAATGTCAATAAGTTATTTTGAGATGAAATCTCAAACATCCTCTTGATCATTCCACACATAACTATATTTTTAATGAAGTCTAAACATCCACTCAAAGTCACCATCATCTATGTTACACATCATATTTATTGACCATCCCTTATAGTGGAAATTAGCAATGTCCTTGGTTGCATTAAATTGTTTCCCAAATGAACTTGTTTCGAAGAGATGGCTTAGGAACATAACCCATTTCAGATGCTTTATGCGGAGAAGGGACGTTTGTAGCCACATATCTCTTATATGCAATCGCTATAATGGTTAATTTGTGGTTAAGGGAAGATATCCATCGAGTTTGGTAAAAATTTGTTCTTCTTACGACGTTTCTAAAACCTGACAATGGAATATGACATATTACATTGGTCACAATATTGAGGTATTTGTTTACAGTGTTGTCATAAAAGGTGTTGGTAAAGAAATGACAAAAGTACATTTATGATTTCCACTTTCAGGTGGTGTCGAGGTCGTGTTACATAATGTTAATAGAGTGTTGAATGAATGTCATGCTAATGGGTTTCTTGCAATGCTTACAGTAATGCATTTAATCTGGTGGATATATTAATATTACTTCATAAGGTCAGGTTGAGGTGTCATTATATCTCTTTGTCAATAGAATTCTCATATAAACATGCATCGAGGTTGTATTGGGAGGAGTGTATATGGTCCATAACTAGGTTCAACAAAGCGGCACTTTAGGACCATTGTTTTTCTCTTGTATTGCATCCGCTTGTGCATAAGCTTAAAGACAAATGCAAGCTTTCATGCATGGTATCTTGATGATTTAAAAGTCATTAGGGATCCAAAAAAAGTGACAAAGTGTTGGACATTATTAAAAAGACCGGTCCATAGTTGGATCTTGAACTGAATATCACGAAAAAAAATTATTTTAGCCTTTATATGATGATAGAAAGCTTTGCAAGGGTTTATTTTATATAAACATTAAGAGATAGTTATTAGGGTTGGAGCTTCTTTGGGGGTGTTACCAAGGTCGGTCCAACCATATTTAGGGCACGTGCCAAAAGCAAAATTGAGGCCCCTCAGATTACAAAAATTAGGAGGCAATTAGAACTTACTGAAGGCATGACATTAGATATGAGAATGTAGAGGCTTAATATCAGGGTAATAGAGTAATATTGGCGAATTATAGGGTCTAAATCCCTCACTTGTATGTGCTTGTACCGACTATGTTTTCTTTCTTTCTATTGCTTCCTTATTCACTTTCAGCATGCATAATATATATATATATATATATATATATATATATATATATATATATATATATATATATATATATATATATATATATATATATATATAACACCGTAATTTTTCAAAACAATTTTTCACTTTTAAAAATATAATTTCATTCACAAATATTCTCAAATCTCAATGTATCAAATCTCAAATCCATAAAAACACATCCCAAGATCAAAATGTATAAAACTCCAATAGTGTGTACTGATCATGTCGGCGCCTTCCCACGATCCTACTGGTACCTGCAACACATAACACGAAACACTGTAAGCATAAATGCTTAGTGAGTTCCCCAAAATACCACATATAACACATATTAGCCACTCGAGGCTATAACTCTGTGGGCCCACTAGCCCTAACTCTGTGGACCCTCTGGTCCTAACTCTGTGGACCTTCCGGTCCTAACTCTATAAACACACAGCATAAATCACATAGAAATAATGCAGTGCAACACATCACATACATAGCATACAAGATACTCTGTCACATAACTCTACTTACCACTCAAGGTAAAGTATAGTGAGAAGACTCACCTCGGGTAACTCGGTAAACCTCGAACTCTGAAATACTGCACTAGCCTCCGCCTAATCACATAAATAATTACTCTAATTAATACAACTTCTAAAGGTTAAGCTAACCCCTCTCTATAAGTTCTCTAAGAAGGGTAAACGACCATTCTACCCCTCTAATGGCTCATAAGTCCAAACACTGACTAAACCCTAAAAGTCAACAAAGTCAACGGTCAACATTGACCGGACTCGTCGAGTGCACTCGTGTGACTCGACGAGTACATGCATGCCCTCTTCGCCCCTGGTCCTCACTCGACTCGCTGAGTCAACCCTACACTCAACGGGTTATCACAGGTCGTGAATCGCGGGGCTACCCGACTCGACTCGTCGAGTCCCTTATGGGCTCGGTGAGTTCCTCCCATGAAAACACTCATCTGACCTCCTGAGGTCAGATCTGCTTCTCTAATCTATAGATCTGACTTCCCCATGACCAATAAACACGTAAAGGTCGAATCTTGGTACACATACAATGCTCCCAAGGCTTATTTTGGTGAAATCCCTTCTAACATGGCAACCTATGTCCATTTCCTCCATAGAACCACAAAAAGCAAGGTGGTTCAAGCTCTTTGGACCTCAAAAGGTCCGGATCCAAAGTTTATTACTCAATGGGACACTAAATCTCAACCCAACAAGCCACAAAAGATATAGAAAACCCTAATTTCAATGCTCTTAAGCAAAACAGAAGAATAGGATCGAATGGCTACCTCAAAATGAAGATCCAAGCTGAAATCTTGCTGAAATGAAGTCCTCTTGCCCCTTTCTTGCTGTAAACCCTTCCTCCTTGGCTAAATCACACCAAAAATGAACAAAGAGGCTCAAACTCTCTCACAACTCGCTCACAATCGCAAGGGTATCTCTCTCTGGACTGGTAGCCGCAAATGGAGGCCATAAAGGCCTTTAAATAGGGCTCAAGCCCTGAGATTTAGGGTTTCATTTTACAGCGCGGACTCGCCGAGTCCACGCATAGACTCGTCGAGTCCCTCATTAATCCAGACAAGAATTCGCGATCCTACTCGGCGAGTCTGAGTGCCTACTCGCCGAGTCCCTCCCTAAAACTCAAGGTAAATACTTAAAATAAGATACCTGGGAATCCGGATGTTACAATTCTCCCCCGCTAGAATCAGACTTCGCCCTCGAAGTCTTGCTCAGCAAACAACTCTGGATGTTGCTCCCGCATCTCCAACTCCGGCTCCCATGTCAGCTCGGACCCTCTCCGATGTTGCCACTGCATCTGCATTAGGGGTACCTCCTTGTTCCTCAGAACCTTGATCTTCCGATCCCGGATCGCGATTGGCCTTTCAGCATAATTCAAGTTCGCATTTACTTGAATATCCTCCAGTGGCACCACCGCCGACTCGTCGGCTATACACTTCCTCAACTGAGACACGTGGAAGGTATCATGAATCTGGCTTAACTCCTCGGGTAGCTATAGACAATATGCTACCTTTCCCACCCTCGCAGTCACCCTGAACGGGCCAATATACCGGGGCCCCAGCTTGCCCCTCTTCCTGAATCGAATCACTCCTTTCCAAGGGGACACTTTAAGGAGTACGAAGTCTCCCACCTGGAACTCAAGCTCGGATCGTCGCCTATCCGCATAACTCTTCTGGCGACTCTGAGCCGTCAACAACCTCTGTCTAACCTGTTGTATCTGCTCGGTCGTCTGAAGCACTATCTCAGTGCTACCCATCACGCGCTGCCCTACCTCTCCCCAGCAAATGGGAGTCCGACATCTCCTCCCGTATAACAACTCGAAGGGAGGCATACCGATACTCGAATGGTGGCTGTTGTTATAAGAAAACTCAGCCAACGGCAGATACGTGTCCCAACTTCCCCCGAAGTCCAACACACATGCTCGGAGCATGTCCTCGAGCGTCTGAATCGTCCGCTCACTCTGCCCGTCCGTCTGTGGGTGGTAAGCGGTACTGAAATGCAGCCTCGTACCCAACTCCTCATGGAACTTCTTCCAGAACCTGGAAGTGAAACATACATCTCGGTCTGACACAATCGAGATCGGTACTCCATGCCGCGATACCACCTCCCTCACATACAACTCTGCCAATCTCTCTGCATAAGAGCTCTCACTGATAGCAAGGAAGTGAGCGCTATTCGTCAGCCGGTTGACAATCACCCAAATTGCATCCACACCCCTCGCGGTCCTTGGCAATTTGGTGATAAAGTCCATGGAAATCTGTTCCCACTTCCACTGGGGAACCTCAAGTGGCTGCAACTTGTCGTGCGGACGCTGGTGCTCAGCCTTAACCCTGCGACAGGTCAAGCACCTCTCAACAAACCATGCTACATCCCTCTTCATACAGGGCCACCAGTAATCTTTCTTCAGATCCAAATACATCTTAGTGGCCCCGGGGTGGATCGAGAACCTCGATCGGTGCGCCTCCTCCATCAA